ACATACCTAGCTACCTGCCCAGCTACCTACCTACCCAGCTACCTACCTACCCAACTATCTACCTACCTACCCACCCAGCTACCTACATACATACATACCCAGTTATGCACCTACCTAGTACCTATCCAGCTACCTACCTTCATACCCAGCTACCTACATACATACCCAGCTACATACCTACCTACCCAGCTACATACATACCCAGCTATCTAACTACCAACCCACCTACCCATCTACCGACGTACATACCCAGTTATGTACCTACCTAGTACCTACCCAAGCTACAAAACTACCTACCCAGCTACATACATACCCAGCTAGCTACCTATAGACATTCCTACCCAGTTCATTAGCAACAACCCTACATACCCACCTACCTACATACCAACTAAGCTACATACATACCCAGCTACATAAACACATACACAATAAATAATCTCGAATCTAATCGAGTCGTAGGGCAATAAAAAATAAAAATACGTGTAGCCTAATTTTTACTGAACGATAACGATACTCACATTGACTTCATGAACTGCACTGCACCTCAACAGTCCTGGGGATACTAAACCACCGTGGTTTTATATTCTGAATAGTCTAAATGACGCAGAAAAGACGTCGATGCGGAAATTCTGCTTCGTTTTGTTCCTGGTGTGCCATAAGTGAGTCGTTCGGATTTTTCTACCTCCTTTTGTTTTTTTGAAGAGCATCCTACATTGAGTTCAACCAAGGTTGAACGTTCTGAAGGACCGTTTAATACCTCGCCATCTGGACACTTTGGTCAAATTTTGTGGAATAACCCCTGTAAATTATATTTACAAAATCAGACACAAAATTCAGATGTAATGCAATTATAACAATAGAGTATTTATTAATACAAATCAAAATGATGATTTATTCATCATGAGCCCAACAAAACGTATATTTCCTGATATTTATCAGATACACAAATAAACGTATTAACTGTTTAAAACAGCAACCTGGAATTTATCATCTAAACCACCACTACATATTGGTTTCTCATAAAACTTTCTGAATGTACAATCGGATTTCCATCCTGCAATTTTAAGAATGCAATCAATATTTGCTCCGCCTTTTTTGGCTGCTGAACTAGATGCCGACCTAGTTGAGTGAGCTTTGAATATGTCAGTATTGATACCTGCATTTTTCAGAATAGTTTTAATCCAACGACTAAGCGTGTCCTTTGATATAGCATTATGAGGTTTTATATAACTCACAAGAAGTTGTGTGACACTACCCCTTAGTGGTTCAGTTCTGGTAATATACTCTTGTGACGATCCTTCAGATTACTTTGAGCATGGTAATGGAATTGTCTTGAAGGATTGTCACTTTGTTTAACTTTTTGCTCTTCACTTTATCAATTGTGTTTTTATTTACTCAATATTTCAAGAGTTATAAAATAATTTAAATTCTGTAAAAGGGTAGTCAGTATTACTACTTTGGCTATGCTCTTAAAGTATGGTTTAAGTTTAATCATTTTTTACTCTATATTTATATTTAGGTTAATAAACTTCTCTTGTGTTTTTCATGTAATATTATTTACAGGATCAATGTCAACATATATATTTTGTTCATAATAAGAGTTTAATGTGAAGGTTTTAGGCCCAGTTTCATGTTTAATGTTACGTTACAAACTTTTTAGAAAGGGCAGTTGTCTGGGATTGTTTTCAAAATCCAAAGTGAGGCTTATTAAGCTTGATTTAAGTAAATAAGCACGATTTAAGTGAATTGTCTTTTTCTGTGCTTTTTATGATTCGAATTCAAGCCGGCCAGACATGGAAAACATTTTGTGGAATTTTAAACATTAAATCGTCACTAAAATTGGATATTTATATTGCCGCAGATAAACCAACTTAGGTGTACGAGTTGGTAAAGGTAATTGACTTGATCTAATTGTATTTTTGCAGAGTTTTAGTCTTTGAAAAGAAGTATCTGTCCACTTGACTTTTTCCTTAATTTTATTTATTTGCCTTGTGAACATCCCATGTTTAAATTGTCCCAGGGATTGTTAAGGAACATTTGACAAGGTTAACACAAGGTTACACGCAGAGTTTTTGTCTTAAAGAACCTATGTAACTTATTAACTAGCGTCGAAATCAAGTTCCCGGGGTTCCTTGAAACCTCTTATACAACATTCCCACAGGGAATCGTTTAGGAATATTTGACAAGGTGTACGAAAAGTTACGGTCTTTACGAACCTTATGTAACTTGCTCTAAACCAGTCAACTGCAAATTCCAGGGGTTCATATACACCTCTATACGACATCCCCCCCCCCCATCCAGTTTGGGACTGTATTTAGTTTGTTCACAGGGTAAATTTTATTGATACACTAGAAATACTCCTTTGTATATTTGTATGTTAAATTCTGGGTAATTTAAAGGTGAAATAACAGGCTTATGGGACCATTATCAAACAACTGATCATTGAAGTACTTTTCGAAGCCCATCTTCGGACTTAAGACACCCCCTCCCCTTCTAGTTTTCCATGTCTGGTCTAATTCTATGTTAACCACATTCTAATTCATTATAGATACTAGAATACTTTTAAAATACTGTTTCCCATTTGTTTGCCAATTGTACCATAGTCTGATAGTGGCAAAATGATTATCTACTTTTCATGTGAGTAGTATAGAGAGCTGATTTCAATCCCACTGGGATTATATAAAATTGCACAGTTGAGTTACATTTTTGGAAAAAGACACATTTTAGGCTTTATTGCAAATTGTTTTACTAAACTTCCATTAGCTGTGCTGTTTTGTGCATGTTTGGTTTTAGAGATTATTTACTTGATATACCATCTCGGCAGTACTGAATTGTGTAATGTTTGTGTAGATTAGTAAATAGAAATAGAGTCGTTTTTATACATTATATAAAAATCCACAGAATATCACTTCTTGTGTTCAATTGTTTATATATATGTTAGAAAATTCCCCTTTCATTTTATCTGAAGTAGATTCTGGATTAAAAATAGATTCCGACTAAATTCCAGGTGACTTAAGTGATACTAACATTCAAGCAACAAGCTTTATCTTAGCTCATATTTGCTAAGGGCTTCTTTGAATAACAATCACTCACAATAAGTCATACATATATTTTCCCAGAAACTATGCAATAGTGCAAAGCTAAAGTACAATCCAGGATCTTACTTTCTTATTTAACCTTTGTCTTATTGAGAATATTAGTGAGAATTTCATTCACCCTGGTTCCAAGTCGTTACCTCAAACATCATTTACTTCCAATGTTTTCTTACTTGCTTGTTTAAATGGTGTACAAGTAATATTATCCCCTGGTGAGTTTGACAGACTCTTGATTTGAAATAGCCCTACTTTAATTCTTACAAAATCTCCCATTTTAAATGTGAACAGTGAGCTTTATATACAGCTCGAAGTCCATTGTAGCCCCCAGTGGCTAAGACTTCCACCTGGTTATACTCACACCCTAACATTATACTTATTTGATACAACTGAACACTGGGCACATTCAGAATCTGGAGTCTGTTGCCATTCGCCTTTATGAGACATACAACTTACATTGAAAACTGACAAATCTTACTTAGTCTATATTCAGATTTTGTTATCCCGTAATCGTTATCCCGAAATTGTCCCACTTCATCCCAATTATTTTTATCCCAGAATTTATCCCTAAATTTTATCCCTAAATTTATCCCTAAACTTTTATCCCTCAATTTATCCCTAATTTATCCCTAAATTTTCATCGCAAAATGTATTCCAATTTGATCACATTTTGGTATGATACTGGGAACACGGATGTTGTTCAAATAAATAGGGATACACATTTCAACTTTTACTTGAACTTGTCCCGAAACTAAGATAATGAAAACATCAAATCAAACTATTGATTCTTAGATTGTATTCTGTTTGCGACCCCCAAACCACGCTACCATACGAGGGTCGTGACAGAAATGTTGGCCTAGCGGTGTGATGTAATACTTGACGTATTGACCCAAGCCCAGTTTTACGCCATTACTTACGTTTATGCTAATTTGCACTCATTAATATTCAAAGCGGGATCATTAACTGTAATTAACAATGTCGGAAAAGTCAGACATCTTTAATCTCGCAAAGCGCACCCCATTACACGTGTCCGAATCCACTGAAAGACCCTTATCTAGCCACAAATCGCAGGCGGAAACTTTTGACACTATTATCCCCGGGTGGTTTGATGATTCTGAAGTTGTATTGGGCCATCAACACCTTAATGAACAAGAGTTGAAATTGGCTCAAGACAATACACTTCCACTTGAATCCTCAGCAACTACACCACCCCCAATAAAGAGACCATCTTTTAATGTTTCTCCGCCTGTCAAATTGACGCGCATTCCTAAATTACGGTAAGATACGCCTAGACCACTTCCCAAGGGTAGGTTGTTTAATCCCCTGCTTAAAATGGTTAAGCAGGAGACTAAAGACCCAAAAAGTGACATGAATTTGGTATCTTCAAAAAAAGGTGAAAAAAGTGTGAGTAGTAGAGGTGGGGCATATGAACCCCCCATAGCTGGTGCACCTTGGTCCCTTGAAAAGGAAACCTTGATGAGTGCTTATGGGGGAATGCCATCTAAAACACCTCCTTTAAAGCCTCTTCCAGCCTATGGAACAAGAGCTACTGCTAAATAAGCTTTTTCACCCCTCAGTTTAGCCCCCTATCTGAAAACGGATTTTGGGACTAAAGATCAAAGAGTTTTACACCCTAAGTATGAAAGGAAAAGTGATTCTCAAATTGCTAAGTCCTCTGAATTGCAAAAGCCATTGGATAAACTGTCAACAAGGGGAACATTCCAATTTAGAAAACCCTTAGATGTCCAAACACCCCCTCATGCTTACCCTGGTAAGCCGTCCAGTGCATCTACTCATACAGCTGGTAGAAAGTCTGGACAGGGTTTAATGACATCCACAAAGGTTTCTTCTCATGGAAGATCTGCAAGTCATGGCAGTTTTTCTGATTCAAACCCAAGCAAACAGTCAATGCATACTTCTCCTCTATTACCAACTGCGAATCAGAAAAATGAGCCACAGAGCTGGCCATACAAATTTCAGTCCTCTCCATGTAGACCCTTACTTCCCCCAATTAAGATAACTGACATTCCCAGATTTAGACCAAAGATCCCAGATTTCTGTCATTCCCGTAATTTGACACTGAAGTCCCCAACTAATGTCAAACAAGAGAGAAAAGATGTTTATACCATGCCAATGCCAAACTATGATTTGGTAGGTCATTCTAGCAAACTGGGAGTAGTAAAGGATGTGCAGGTCGACTACCAGGTTCCATCCCTTGCTCCAATGCCACTGGCACCTCATGAAGGTGGCATGCTCCAAGCAGCGTATGGGGATGAACTGGCACAGCAGACTATGCAGAGCCTTTTGCTGATCTCATCTGATAGAATACCACCACCCATAGAGAGATCTTCTTTTAAGCGGTCTCAATCTGTCAAATTGACTCGAATTCCCGGTATACAGGTAGATAGATCTAAATCCCTTCACAAAGGTCAATTGCTCAACTCCCTGCTTAAAAATGAAGAGCAAGAGCAATTAGACCAAGAACCAGATTTAAATCAGGGTACTAAAGATAAAGTTGGAAAAATCCGAGTAGTAAACAATGCACCGCTGAATCCTCTTGTCCAATGTTCACAAATGCCCAGTCCTGACTCTTCTGATGAAGAGTTACTAAAACAGTATGACTTGAATAATACCCAAACCCAGTCGAGACAGTCAGAAGTATCTTATCGCATCTCAGAAGCTGAAATTACTAAAATAGTTCAGCAGCAGATGGCGATACTCAGTCAAAATCTGACTGAGACTATGATGAAGACCCTTGCAAAGAATCCAAAGTCCAATGCAAAGAAATATGCCTCATATTGTAAAATATGTGACACTAGAAACCACTCCATCTTTGACTGTGAAAAGAGACATCCCAACTCTCGGGTTACTGGTGTCAAAGCTTGCTTCAACTGTGGAAATGATCATCGTGTAACTGATTGTCCTTCCCTGAAGGGAAGTTTAGATCAGCTTGAACACTAAATGATAATGGTATGTGTGTCTAATATCCAAGCCACAAAGACGCACTTCACCTTTCACAAAAGTGGCTTACAGAACCACCCTCTTTACACCCAATTGATACTAAATATAGTTGACTTGTAAAACCTTGCTGCTAATGTACTGATGTAAGCATGTTTTCTTTCGCAGAAAGCTTATGCTTATTTGTACATTAGTCATATCGATGTTGAAAATTTCCCTCCTTGACTGTGTCTTTGTTTACCTGGGATCATTGGCTGTTTTGGGCTTTGTACCCTGAAAAGCATACAACAGCATGCCAATTCCCCAATGGTGACACAAGTTTGTTGTCCTTGGTTGCCATAAAGCCTTACTTTACCAAAGCAGTAGTGTTCACTGCAGATATTGGCCTGATCAACCAATGTTTGTAAACATTTACACTGTTTGGAAACAAACTAGTCCATCAAGTATGTAAGAAAATGGCAATATGACAACTGAATCCAGAAACTCTCCTGAATGAGGTGACTCAACTTTTATGAATAACAACTTAGATACTGGGATTGAGTGACACCGTGGATATGGCCAATCCATTTTCTTTATTTAAGTGATATACCTGGTTTTCTGGCAGGTTTTGATAGGTGTCTCCCATCTTGCCCACCCAGTTATCGACTAGGTTATTCATGTGAACAACTCCCCATTATTAGGTTCACACTCCCGAGTCCCACCTCAACTACCGTTCTTTTTGAAAGGGCAATGGTGAATGAATTTGAATCATTCCCAGTACAAATGTTATGAGATGTTATCTGAATGCTACCAATCCGAAGCTGATTGTGAAAGGATATATCTTGAAGATACGTTTGATTGATTCAATTTCGTTTGATAACCCTTTATTTTGGCCAAATCATATCATATCATGTGATATTCAAAATTTATAATTGTACTATGTGATTAACCAGTCTTATTTCCAGGACTGTAACACTTTTATTCCAGCCCAGCATGAACCAAGTGATGACCTTCAACCTAATGAACATTGTACACTATGCTATTATGAAAGTAATCTGAACAGATGAACACTATCATGATTGCTGTTCGATTAAAGTGACTTATTTGGTGTACCCAATGAATCGACGATATTGGGAGCCACTCTTAATATTGACATTGAAAATTAAGGCTTATGAACAGAAACATGTACCCTATACTTATAAGAATGGATTCTGCAGCTTTGTGATGACTCTGCATTTTGAGGAAGGACACGAAGAATGGCTGACAATCTCAATTTTATATTGTACTAGAGACCATGCCAAATACTAAACACATTTCCCTATTATAGTGGGGAACCAGTGACAATGACTGTATCATCAATGAATGTAATGGTAAGAACGTTTGATAAACAGTACAGACAGTATGGATATTACTTCAACCATTCACAAGAACCATAACCTACAAGGGAAAGATACAAGACACTGATGCTGCTAGAGACATTTTTCGTAATTAAACGTGATTGTTTATTAGATTATGCTACCCTTTTTATGTTATGTATTTCAGGTGAAAAATCGAGAAAAGTGTAAACTAACATTGTATTTGATTTAGACTTATGTTTATTAAGAAGTAAACTGATTATACATTAGAACCTTATTGTGTATATATGTTTATCAATACCTTTACTGAGTACTATGTTGTAGTAAATGGTGTGTGAAATGCCTATTTTAGGTAATGGTGTTTATATATGATTTTGCATCTTTATAATTTCAGAGTTCGAGGACGAACTGTTTTTAAGGGGGAGCAGTGTGACGATCCTTCAGATTACTTTGAGCATGGTAATGGAATTGTCTTGAAGGATTGTCACTTTGTTTAACTTTTTGCTCTTCACTTTATCAATTGTGTTTTTATTTACTCAATATTTCAAGAGTTATAAAATAATTTAAATTCTGTAAAAGGGTAGTCAGTATTACTACTTTGGCTATGCTCTTAAAGTATGGTTTAAGTTTAATCATTTTTTACTCTATATTTATATTTAGGTTAATAAACTTCTCTTGTGTTTTTCATGTAATATTATTTACAGGATCAATGTCAACATATATATTTTGTTCATAATAAGAGTTTAATGTGAAGGTTTTAGGCCCAGTTTCATGTTTAATGTTACGTTACAAACTTTTTAGAAAGGGCAGTTGTCTGGGATTGTTTTCAAAATCCAAAGTGAGGCTTATTAAGCTTGATTTAAGTAAATAAGCACGATTTAAGTGAATTGTCTTTTTCTGTGCTTTTTATGATTCGAATTCAAGCCGGCCAGACATGGAAAACATTTTGTGGAATTTTAAACATTAAATCGTCACTAAAATTGGATATTTATATTGCCGCAGATAAACCAACTTAGGTGTACGAGTTGGTAAAGGTAATTGACTTGATCTAATTGTATTTTTGCAGAGTTTTAGTCTTTGAAAAGAAGTATCTGTCCACTTGACTTTTTCCTTAATTTTATTTATTTGCCTTGTGAACATCCCATGTTTAAATTGTCCCAGGGATTGTTAAGGAACATTTGACAAGGTTAACACAAGGTTACACGCAGAGTTTTTGTCTTAAAGAACCTATGTAACTTATTAACTAGCGTCGAAATCAAGTTCCCGGGGTTCCTTGAAACCTCTTATACAACATTCCCACAGGGAATCGTTTAGGAATATTTGACAAGGTGTACGAAAAGTTACGGTCTTTACGAACCTTATGTAACTTGCTCTAAACCAGTCAACTGCAAATTCCAGGGGTTCATATACACCTCTATACGACATCCCCCCCCCCCATCCAGTTTGGGACTGTATTTAGTTTGTTCACAGGGTAAATTTTATTGATACACTAGAAATACTCCTTTGTATATTTGTATGTTAAATTCTGGGTAATTTAAAGGTGAAATAACAGGCTTATGGGACCATTATCAAACAACTGATCATTGAAGTACTTTTCGAAGCCCATCTTCTGACTTAAGACACCCCCTCCCCTTCTAGTTTTCCATGTCTGGTCTAATTCTATGTTAACCACATTCTAATTCATTATAGATACTAGAATACTTTTAAAATACTGTTTCCCATTTGTTTGCCAATTGTACCATAGTCTGATAGTGGCAAAATGATTATCTACTTTTCATGTGAGTAGTATAGAGAGCTGATTTCAATCCCACTGGGATTATATAAAATTGCACAGTTGAGTTACATTTTTGGAAAAAGACACATTTTAGGCTTTATTGCAAATTGTTTTACTAAACTTCCATTAGCTGTGCTGTTTTGTGCATGTTTGGTTTTAGAGATTATTTACTTGATATACCATCTCGGCAGTACTGAATTGTGTAATGTTTGTGTAGATTAGTAAATAGAAATAGAGTCGTTTTTATACATTATATAAAAATCCACAGAATATCACTTCTTGTGTTCAATTGTTTATATATATGTTAGAAAATTCCCCTTTCATTTTATCTGAAGTAGATTCTGGATTAAAAATAGATTCCGACTAAATTCCAGGTGACTTAAGTGATACTAACATTCAAGCAACAAGCTTTATCTTAGCTCATATTTGCTAAGGGCTTCTTTGAATAACAATCACTCACAATAAGTCATACATATATTTTCCCAGAAACTATGCAATAGTGCAAAGCTAAAGTACAATCCAGGATCTTACTTTCTTATTTAACCTTTGTCTTATTGAGAATATTAGTGAGAATTTCATTCACCCTGGTTCCAAGTCGTTACCTCAAACATCATTTACTTCCAATGTTTTCTTACTTGCTTGTTTAAATGGTGTACAAGTAATATTATCCCCTGGTGAGTTTGACAGACTCTTGATTTGAAATAGCCCTACTTTAATTCTTACAAAATCTCCCATTTTAAATGTGAACAGTGAGCTTTATATACAGCTCGAAGTCCATTGTAGCCCCCAGTGGCTAAGACTTCCACCTGGTTATACTCACACCCTAACATTATACTTATTTGATACAACTGAACACTGGGCACATTCAGAATCTGGAGTCTGTTGCCATTCGCCTTTATGAGACATACAACTTACATTGAAAACTGACAAATCTTACTTAGTCTATATTCAGATTTTGTTATCCCGTAATCGTTATCCCGAAATTGTCCCACTTCATCCCAATTATTTTTATCCCAGAATTTATCCCTAAATTTTATCCCTAAATTTATCCCTAAATTTTTATCCCTCAATTTATCCCTAATTTATCCCTAAATTTTCATCGCAAAATGTATTCCAATTTGATCACATTTTGGTATGATACTGGGAACACGGATGTTGTTCAAATAAATAGGGATACACATTTCAACTTTTACTTGAACTTGTCCCGAAACTAAGATAATGAAAACATCAAATCAAACTATTGATTCTTAGATTGTATTCTGTTTGCGACCCCCAAACCACGCTACCATACGAGGGTCGTGACACTCTGAGAGTGTTGAGAAGACACAAAGTCGTCGATCACTATATTTATGTAGTTCAATATTCAAAGGTTTATATCCTGGTTTTGATTGTTTCAGATGTTCTGACAAGAGAAACACGTATCGGTCCTCTTCACATATCATGTCTTTAATATTTAACATATGTATCGTTTGACAACGCTGTGCTGTGACCAAGGCTATCAAAGCAACCAGTTTCAATGTAAGTGTTTGTAACTTAAGTTCATTAACTGGAGAGAGCGTTTTTAGATATTCCAAAACTACAGAGACGTCCCATGTTGCAATATATCTAGGCACTGGGGGGTTTTCGTTGAAAATGCCCTTCATGAAACGAATTACGATGGGATGATTGCCAAAAGTCACATTCCCGTCGAATGTGATGCATGACGATAGTGCGCATCTGGCTGTATTAATCGTGCTATAGCTCACCTTTTGATTATACAGTTCGGTGAGAAAGTCCAATCCTATTTGTAAAGTTGGACGAAGGGGATTACTTTCCCGAGCACTGTTGAACTGAATCCACTTTCTGAGGTAAACCGCGTACTGTTTTTGAGAAAGTGGTCTCCACGAATTGATGACGATCTCAGCAGCGTGTCCCGATACGCCTTGGTTTTTGAGATGTTCCCTGATAAGTTGCAAGCCACTAGAGTCAATTTCCGTCGAAGGGGATGCTGATCGTCCTTGTATGGAAGATATAGTAGGTTCGGTTTGCGAGGTAGAACGACAGGGTTTTTCACCAGCAAACGTAACATTTTTGCCCACCAAGGTTGTGTCGACCAAAGGGGAACGAT